AAAGCAAGAGAAGATAAATTGGCTGGTGTGGGTCTTCCGGGCTGTGTGGCTGTGGTCTTGAAGTTTTGTTTCCTAACGTTTCGCCAGCACCTGTGACCGGCATCTTCAGAGTGCAGGAGCACAGCAGGAGCTCTGGGTGGGGTTGGGTTACTGAGTGGCTGCTTGTTTTGGTGTCAGAATCTGTGTGTATCTTCCTGGGGATTAGGCAGGATTATACTCCTGCAGCGGTGAGGGGGTCCCCTTTTTCTTTAGGATTCCCCCACCCCCGCAGGAGTATAATCCTTCCTAATCCCCAGGAAGATACACACAGATTCTGACACCAAAACAAGCAGCCACTCAGTAACCCAACCCCACCCAGAGCTCCTGCTGTGCTCCTGCACTCTGAAGATGCCGGTCACAGGTGCTGGCGAAACGTTAGGAAACAAAACTTCAAGACCACGGCCACACAGCCCGGAAGACCCACACCAGCCAATTTAATAATAGCTTCGCCAGCTATCCCTGTGGTAGTGTCTTCTGTGCATGTACACAGAAGCCTGAAAGATCTTGAAGCAACTGCGCTCAACCTTCAAGCAGTTTCTTTGCTCCTTGTTGGCCGATATGTGCACAGTATTAATTTTGCCTCTTGCACATCTATGCACTGGTGTCAATATCCAGAGACAGGTCAATTCTGCACTTGACATTTGAGTGGCTTCACATCTCCCTTCTTCATAAACAGCATTTATATTTGTAGCAACAATAGCAGTAATGTACATGAACTTTAAGAACACTCATGCATGCTCCTGAAACATTGACAGAATACCACTGACAATGCATTATTTTTTTCTTTCACTTTGTAAGAGACTGTAAGCTACTTGGTTCTGTTGAACCATAATTAATGAAATTGCAGAATTGCTGCTCGCAGCTGAACAAGTCTGAAAAAAGCAGTTTTGCAAACCTGGAAAAGGACAGGGCAGCTTTAACAATTCCAAAGGGATGATTTGTACATGTTCCTGTCTGTTCAAAAGCACATTTTTCAAATGATTTGCTTTTCTCCATCTGTTCTTTGAAAGTTTGCCTTGAAAGCGGCGAAGACTGAAAACTGAACTTAAACATCTCTACACAATATTGTGTGATATTTTACAACTCATGGTGAAGAAGTACTCTCATTATTCTGCTTCATAATAAAGTAGGATTTCCATAAAGTATTTGGTATCATAGGTTTAAAAATGTTAGCCTCTAAAGTGACAGCTTTGCCACAGCACTTTTTCTTTTTGCCTAATGAAATGTAAAAGGCCACTGAAGTTCCAAAGCAACAGGGAAAGGCAGGCTAGAACGGTTAGAGGAATGACCCAATTTATACCAGAGGCAGTTGCAACCTCTAGTGTGTGCTTCCTCTTAGTTCCTTTAAAGAGATTGAACAACTTTTTGCCCCATTCTAAAAGGAGTTTGCGTGTCTGCCTGTAACAGGAAAGAAAAGGGGGGGGGAAAAAAAGAACGAATTTTCTGCATCAGACCTGTCACTTAATTGTTTGGTAAAGGAGCTTACACAAACATCAGCTTCTGCATTCAGTCCATCAGGAAATTGCACAAGAATGATGAAAAACCTTATTTTGGGATGCCTTTATATCAGTTGCAACGCCTTGCAAAGTTTCAAGGCGTTGAGTTCTCAGAATAAGTAATTTTTTCATAGTTTTTAGATGATGATAGTGCCAATGTTATAGTTCCTAAACTATGTTTGCTTGCAAAATTATCCCAGGATTCTCTGGAATTCTGGTTTATACCTG